GCAACTCGCAAGAAAGGCGAAAATGAAACATTTTCGGTGTATCAGAATGGAAAAAAAATTGTTCACTTACCGTGCATAGTCGGCACTTCCACACGAAATTAGCCTCACCGCGGCTACCGGGGATTTCGTGTACGTCCTATATATCAATCCAGTTAGTAAGCCGTTCAATCGTGACAAAGGGGAGAGTAGGATATAAGTAATCCACGTACGAAACGGTTGAAGCTGACCCAGTTGGGGTGTGTCTCATGGCAGGAGGTACATTGCACTCGGAAAGTGTAGAAGTAGGGGTTTTCCTCAGTGTCTGTGGGCACGAGGGCAGTAACACTGTATAACCATATCAGTTAGTTGTCTCTTTGATAATAGTGGCCGAAAAGATCTGCCCGCGCAGTGTGTTCCTGGAATTGGAGTGCAGTGCGGGGAGATGCAGGCACCTGCAAAGGCTCAATAATCGAATACCTAAGGTAGGAGCACTTACCCCTCCAGCTGAGCTTCGACCAAAAGAGTGAGCATTTTTGGCTTTTAAAGTTAAGTGGGTGATCTTGATCTCAAGGTATGATGGCTGAAGTCAAGATCTTTCTGCAGGTGATGCGGGGTGGAGCTGGAAAATACTCAACGTAGATCGAGGCTTGGCATGTGACCACTCTATAAACATTGATGTTTGTCAAGACTACGAAATATAAAAGTTAAGAAGTACCAAGAGGAGTTTGGGTAGGAATTTAAAATTCATTCATATTTTATATGGGAATTGAAGATAAACGCCGGTCATGCTCAATCTATCACTCACAACGAACGAATCAAGCTAGCTATATACATCTCGAAGGTAAAATACAGACTCATAATACGTCAACATTCTCACAGGCGGCTCTGTTGAGACTCCTGGCCCAGCAGCTTCGTTGAGAACGAGTTGAAGAACTCGTTGAGAGCGTCAACAGTGCCACTTCCCTCAACCAGCTGCACGGTGCAAGCAACGTGGCTGTCGGGGCGGGTCACAACAACACCACCTTTCTCAGCATCAAAGCCTAGCTTCTCGTGGGCTGCAAATTGAGCCTGAGGAACACGCACATCAGGAATATCATCCGCATAGAGGTGGTGGTGGTAGTCACGCAAGACCTGAGGGATGGAGTCTACATCGATGGTGTTCTTGGAGCCTGCGTAAATCACAGACAGGGTGAAGAGTTTGGAATGGGGGTTGTGGCGCTCGAAGAATGACACATCGGCAATGTCAGACCGGCGGTACACCGAGAGGAACGAGCGCTCCTTCTCGAGGTTCGCAGCAAGGTCGGTAATGGCCTTCTTGGTCTTGGGTTGGTTGCCAGCGAAGACGAAGATGCGGAATGCACCGTTAGCGGGCACTTCCTGCTCGAGCTCGACAAAGTTGGAATCTGCAAGACGGGTGACGGTGGTCGGGGTGAAAGCGCGACCCGGAGTCAGATGAACGCCGGGAACCTTGAATAGAGCGGACTTGGCAGGGTGGCTCGCGTCCCAGGTGAAAATGTTGGGCTGGTAGGCCACTCCGTATCCACTGGTGAACTCGCAAGATGACTTGAAGGTCTTGACGAATTCATCCTCCTCCCCACCGGCACCCACAGTGGTGTGGCTGGCAGAACCGACCTCGCCAGCAGAAGGACGGCGCTTGGAGAAGAGGGCTGCGTACTTGGAATCGAAGTTCAACAAGGTCTCAGCGATATCCTTGCGCTCGCTCTCGTAGGTGCTGAGAATAGAACGGTTTGCAAAACCACTCTCTACAGCGTGGATCTTCCAGGCCATGTTGAGTGCATCATGGAAAGCAGTGTTCATTCCCTGGCCAGCCTTGGGCTTTAGGGGTGTTAGCGAGATTTCTAGAAGAACAGGGATTTCAAAGGGGAGGACTGACGCTGTGAGTGTGGCAAGCATCACCACCCATAAAGACTCGCTCGTCAAGGGTGTACTTTTCAGCGATACCTTGTCCAATGGGGTAGACAGAGTACCACTCAACCCGGTCCCACTCAATCCAGTATGGCTTCAAAATGCTCTTCGCGGTCTGCTGAACCTCCTCGGCAGTGGCGGTCTTTCGGGGATTCCAATCGGCGTCAGTGGAGGAGGCAATCTGGACATAAAGGCGGACCATATTGTCCTCGCGGGGAATGACCATGATTGAGCCAGCGTCGGAGTGGATGGTGCATTTTGTCTAAATATCGATGCGTTAGAAAAACACGTGAGAGTCGTTTTTTTCAGCCATGCTTACCTCAATGTCGGGGAAGTTGGTGCGTACGACACCGTCCATGACACCCCAGACATAGGCAATAGGATCTTTGTGGTGGATCTTGATATCAAGCTGTTCACGAACGAAGCTGCGGGCACCCTCGCCACTGAACAAGTACTTGGCGCGTACATTCTCGATGACGTTGGTATCCAGGCACTTCAGGTTGACCTCAACAGGATAATCAGCGTTCGCACCATCGTTCTTGAAGCCAACGATGGTCCATGGCCGCTCGACAGTTGTACCGGCTTTCTTAATTTCATCCAAGAAAACGCGCTCGATCTTACCCTGGTGGACCAGGGTGGTGAAAGGGTAGCGGGTGTCAATGAAACGAGGACAACTAGGCCAGCTGCCTGTGCGGCCGATGCCAGAGCCGTCACCCTTGGGATCCCAGAAGGCAACGTCATAGACCTTGGCAGGCTCGTAAGCCATGATCGAGCGCTTCAAACCAAGGTTGCGCAGGATCTCGGTAGATCGCGGCTGGATACCGTCGGCGCGACCAGTAGCGGTCGGCACTGGGCGGTTGTCGATGTGCTTCACCTTGTAACCCCACCGCGACATACACAGGGACAAGAGCAGACCGACAGGGCCGGCGCCCACAATGACAATGTCATACTTCTCTTGTTGGACCATGCTGGCGGTCAAACGCAAATACAGAGACCAAAGTTTGGGGGGAGGTATGAATAGTATGGAGAATGGAGATATAATCGGTGTAAATAATTAGATGTATGACTTGAAATAAAAGCAAAATAGATCAGAGTGTCACCCTGCACGATGACCGAAAGAAAAATGAATGAGGGCCATGGCTGTCTCTATATACTGTCCGGGAACTGGGGTAAGCGGACAGATTGGGCGTTCAACTAAAGCAACGGAGAACATCCACGGCATTCAGAGTCGGCGGAATCGTGGGGAGCACTGGTTCGAGGGTTGGGGTAGCCAATCAGGTTCGCCAGAAACGGAGTTATGGACGATTTGTCATCGAAGAAGCAAGCACCGTGTGGGGGCAGGACTGGCTTTGCACAAAGTCCATAATACCGTCGTTGATCCCGAGCTTGTAGCCGCAGGGTTCCATTGTGACTGGGTTGCTCCTCTTTGCCTCTGCTCCACCCGGAAACGATCTCGGTAAGCGGACGGCTGGGCACGTGACCCAGCCTCGGCAACCCTGCCCGGGATCTATATGTCTATGTTGTAGATACTCCCTTATTTTGTACAACGTCCATAATTCGTCTTACCATTACTACTATCGTTAGGGGGGAATTGCCCAATTCATCTACACATAGGCATGACTAGCAGACTACCACCTCCAATATTATTGGTTAAATACTCAATTTTTTCCCTTCCAGGCTTATTCCTTCTACCGAGATTACTGAAGTCCTGCCGCCTTATCGACCGGACTATCCCGTGCCATCATGGTAGTTTGACCTGGTACTTGCACTGCGGGTAACCCGAAATTCTGTGCCATGCTCTAGAGGAAATATTCATGAGGTTTACCACCTACTCTAATGTGGTTTCCTCGGTCTGGTCCATGGCAAATGAGTCGGTTCCACCCCTCTTTTGGAAAAAAAATAAAATAAAATAAAATAACCTTAAGAAGCATTGCTACATGATCATAACAATAGCACTCAGATGGTTCGGCTCTAATTATACGGTTATATAACCATTGTAGTGGCTTTAATGACCCGTATTTTTCTTGGTTTAAATTTGCCAGGCCTTTCAACAGTTTAATTTTAGAGCCCTTAGTATAGCCGTAGCATGAAAATATCGACACCCCAGGCAACAATGACGAAAGAGGGTGGATCGGGCACAAGTTGTACCGCTCCGAACTATACCCAGAAACTACCTACAAACATATCAGGACTAAACATACAATATCCATTTGTGAGCTATGCGCAATAGGTGGTATTTGGACAATTATATTTACCCTACCATCTCTTGTAGGTAATATATTAACAGGTATGGACATGGCGTATGTAAGAACATTTTGCAAGATTTTGTAATATCCTTACGTATTAGTGTAGTGGGTGGTGATAACACATAAGATGTATTGTAATAATCCTAAGCTTCCAAATCAGAGGGGATGCTATGTCTTTTGTTTTGTAATGGTTCTCATAGGTGTGTGTGGTAGGTGGGTATCAATAATTTGTGTTATTGCAATATGCTTATCCAGGTTGGCCAGCCCAAACCCCGTGTTATGGAGCATGTGCTGTCACATCAGGTTGTCTGTTTAGAGTTGACATATGGGTACTACTAGGATCATGTGGTAAATTGGCGTTTGTTTGGCCTATCAACAACCTCCTTGATTAGGGATAATGAATTATTCTATTCTCCGTTTGTTCATTGTTTGTTCCAAGTATTTTCTTTGTTCCAATATTCTGATTTTCCATTTTCTTTGTTCCTACCTCCTTTGTTTCTATTGTCTTTGAGACTTTACCACCCACATTATTGGGCTAATCCTATTGTTGTAGACAACATGGTCCCAGCATACTCTTTTCAGTCTCAAACAATGGCCTCGACTTTTCTACTATGCTTTATTCGGCAGTAATCAATAACAATTAAATGACTATTGTAACGAGACACATTGTAGCTCTTGGTTCCGACGACAGTAGTATATATCTACCATCTTCTTCCAACCCTTTTCCTTTTTGCCTTCCATACTTCTTCATACCTTTTACGCTTCTATTTCTCATACTTCACGTTTATTTTTCTGCAATTGCAAATTCACCTTCGAACGATATCTCGAATTGAAACCGTAGACACAGCAATGTCTCATTATCCACCAGTTCGTCCCTGGGCAACTCTTAGCACCATTGACCGGGAAGACGAGCCACTGATCCTCTACGAAGAGGAACGCCAGCAATGGCTTCGACAGCATCCCCATGTTGTTCCTCAGACCGCAAAGAGGAGTCGCAACAAGAGTCAACGTGCCTTCGCAGATAGGGGCCCCAGCATGGCTGAAGGCTTTCGTGATATTGCGGAACGCGGTGCAGCTCGTCGCAATAGAACTCCTGTGAACAAGAAAGATGTGTAAGGGTCATCCTTACCTAGACCTGCTGAACATGAAATCTAATATGATGAACAGATTTACCAAGCCATTGCCACCAATTCCTCAACAGGAAGAACCTCAGCTGGCCACCACAATTGGTCAGGACAGTGTTCTCCAAGGTTCTGGTCCCGATATCAACAAGATGAGCATTTACTACGTGCTTGACAGATCCAACATGCAAGGCCACCACGAATCCTCATTTGCTCAAAAAGAAGATTCTCAGCCTGCTACCGAAGTTGGCCAGAACGCAGTTGTTGATGGGCCTGTGCAATCGAGTGAAAAGATGAAAATGAATTTGCTTCTCGAGGAATGCAAGCTTCAAGGATTCGACGATGAGTCTCCATCCATTCAACCCAAAGCATTTGAGCCGGCCCTGCCATCCTTTCCGCATCACTACCACAACGCGCCGGCCTCCCACGCTAATCACTCCTCTGGTTTCCATCGCTTGAATCATGTTGCTCCATGTGCTGCTCCTGCATCTGAGGCCCCTTATGCTCAAGCCAATTCACGACCTCATCACGATGGTTGTAGTCCAACCTCATGGTACGAAGCCTCACCCACTGGCCAAGAACCCTCTCCGGGTGCTCAGATTGCAGTGGTACCCAGCAATACTCCAGTCGCAGAAATCAAACAAGAAAATCAATCCACCGAAGTGGGCGCAACCTTTGAGGAACTGATTGCTTTGGTCAACCAGGCAAAGGAAAACTATCGCCTTGCAAGTGAAAAGCAAAACCCAGGAAGTTCATATTCTACTTACCGTTTCGCTCCCCCCAATTCGGCGTCTGTGGATATCTACCTTGCGGACCAACGCTCTGATCCTGGTTTCCAGACTTGTGACTCCTTCATTCGTAATGCTGAGTGTCCTTTGTTTGCGGGCCCCAGCAACATTCGCGAACTGAAATCCACGACTCCTGTTTGGTCCCCGACTCCTGATCCTTGCCCCAACCCACGAATTCCATATTCTGCTTACCATCTCGCTCACCCTAATTCAAGCCCCTTATTTGTGAGCCCCGGCACCACCAGCGAAGCTACACCTACAACATCTGGGTCGTTCTCGTCCCCGTCTCCTGCCCCATACCCATGTTTCAAAGGATGTTGCTATTGGACTGACGATGAAACGGAGTCTGAATCTGAACCTGAAACTATTGCATCTGCGGAGCCCCAGTTCCATCAGGAATGTTCTGCTTCCAATGTACCACTGCAAGAGCCACCTATGTTGCATTCGTCTACCCCCCAGGCCGCTTCCCTCCAAGCAGATTTTACTTGGCGTTGGGACACCTTCGACGGGATTGACACTGGCATTGTTGTGCCCCTTGAACAAATGTATGTTCGGGACTACACTACTCCTGATTCGCCTCTACAGGATTCACCTACATCTCCTGCTCCAGCTCCGCCATCTCCTGAGCGTCGTCCAAATGGTCTCCCTAGACTTTCCAATACCGGTGTGCCTCGGGTTGGAATCTATCCATCTGATATCCCCCACGATCCCCGGCTTACGCAGGTTAATTTCCACCCAGACTACATTTCATCCCCTGCCAGCTATCCAAGACGTTTGAGCGAGGAGAGAACCAACATGGACAATGACGAGCATTCTCTTGTCCCACAGCAATTGAACGTGACTAAGAACCCCACATTCACCATGGATGTCCCCATCCACGACGTTTCCCAGCATCAGACAGCCATCCACGTTTCTGAGTCTACCAATGGTGAATATAGCCGCGCAGCTTCCTTCGTCAATAATGACTCCAACTTCAAGAACACCTCCGGCAACGCAACTCCGAGTCGTATCACCGAAAGTCCCGATACCTACAGTTCTTCGGGCTCCGAAGGTCCTCGTGGCAAGCGCAAGCGATTTACCAAGAACCTCTTTGGTAACAACGGATACCTTGAAGACAACGAGGGGCCACGCAACAAGAGATTCCGCTATCTGAGGAGGGCCGTCAAAAAGGGACATTCAGCCGTCAAGGGAATGGTAAGTGTTTGGTGACTTGGCTTTTGAAAAATGTTATAATGACTAACAATTGTTTTGACAGTTTTGGGATGGGGATCGAGCTTTAATCAGCTCATCCAAGCCCAGCATCGTCACCGAGAATACTGCCTCCATTACTCTGAACACCGATGTGCAGTCAATCCTGTACGCCGAGATTGAGAACATGATCACCCAAGCAGCCAACGAATTCCTGATGAGGGAGTATTACGAAGGCCACCTTACCACTAGTTCTCTCAGCAAGGTGAAGAAAAGATGGGAGAAGAAGAACATGCCTGGTGTTCCTCAATTCCGCTTCGACCAATTTACCCAGTACAAGCTGATCAGCGCAAACCGCAATCATCTCCAGTTTGGCAACACCAGCAACAACCTTGGTCGGACCACCGTTCTGAGAAACTGGAAGAAGATCTGCAAGCACATGAGCATCCGCACCTTTGTGGCCCCCGATTCGGTTGTCAAGAAGGACATCCACGATATCCTGGATGTCTTGCAGCTTTTGAAGGCTGACGAATGCCACATTGAGCTCATTATGGCCCTCAATGCGCATGTTCATGGAGAGCTGGAGAAGCATGAGATGATGCAGCACTACCGAAACACTCAGAACTCTGGGAACTCTCGCTCTTAACTTGTCCTTTGTTCATTTAAACTTGACCCATGTTTGATTATTCTCTTCAACAATTCTTGCCTCGCTTTCGCTTTCGCATTTTGCTATTCTGTCTCGGCTGTTCTTTCCTAGGACTTCGCCGTTATCAGTTCGCACTTTGCCGCTTTCAATTTCTGCTTTTTCTGCTTTCTTTTTTTTTGGTTTTTTACTATTTGCTATTCTGTTTCGGCTATTCCGTTCTAGGACTTGGCCGGTATCAGTTTTGCGTCTTGCCAGTTTGGCTTTCTGCTATTTTTCGTTCCCGCGTTTGCTATTCTGTTACTGTCTTTTTATGCGTGTTTTACCAGCGATGAGTCGGTCAACTAGTTCAGTCTAGCATACTTCAAAACCAACTTATCCCAAATAAATCCTTTACCTTCCTAGTAGATCAACTGAAAGTAAGCATCAAAGATACCTTCTTATGTGCTCTTCTACACGGATCTGGGTGGAATATCATGTGCAATCGTGTATTATCATACTGAATCTTCATTTTGAACCCTTTTAACTTTCATACAGCGACTACTACGACTACTACCAGCAAGAGTACACCATCAATCGGGGCACCATCGATAGCACCAAGCACGGCTTCAGGCAGTTCTTCGCTTTCTAGTGGTGCGATTGTGATTAGATGCATTGCGGAGTGCTGAGAAGAGAAAGAAGGAAATTTATGAAGCCTTATACGCTCCGAGCCCTAGGAAGCCCAGTGGACTTCATGAAATTGGATAATCGGGCAATCAAACTGTAACACCGAATAATCGTGAGATTGGATCTTCCGGTCCTACGGACACGACGGCTTGACTGAAGCGGACTCTACTAGAGGAAGTCGAGATTCAACATAATTCAATCTCACACATCGTCGCTCTCTTTTACAACCCATTTTGATAGATCTTGGACCAAAAAGTATGTAATGCATCGGCAGTCTCAGAAATAAACCAAAGTAGAATAAACGGCCACTAGCCCCTATGATCTAGGTTCGAAGATTATGGGATAGTAAAATAATACTTGACAATTTCCCCTCTAGTGGCAGGTCGAATTGCCTCTTTCAACGGCAAATTTTCTTTCAGCTAACATCATAACAATCCAATAAATTGTAATGGCAATCTTTAAGATGGCTCCACATAGCGCTGTCCCGAGTCGAAGCTTCGATGATCGGTTATCTTTGTCTCACATTCAAAACAATACCAGATATGCCCTTGACTATCTGAGCATCCTACGCAACCAGGTCGCCTAATAAAGCTAACGTGATGGCGATGGATGTGCTCAATAGCACCTCCCATACTCTCAAAGTCGTCATCGTAGAAACGGCCCGTATATATAGACATTCCAGAAGGGCTTCAAGGCCTCAAGGTTCCTCCAAAATGTTGTTAGCTGTACCCTTTAAGATGTAGGAAATTACTGACAATTCTTCAATTGCAATGTAGAGCAATTTGATTAAACCTGCAACTTGGAGATATTGAAAGACAAAGAAACTTTCTGCAGGAATCAGTTATATACTTCTTTGTTTTACACCCCCAGGCCAAACGTCATAGTCAAAAGTCGATCACATGCCATCATAATCATGGCTACTAGACATGGTAAATTCAAGACTTAAACGCAACCATCAAACTAGTAGATCGCCTAATATTTCAGGTCACGTAACTATCCTTTGGCATTTGTCAATCATCGATGATTGAACTAATTTTCGAACATTCTTAATTTAATATATATGTAACCATCATACGTATAACATGACATGTCAACTGAGCTGAAAAGTGAAGTTGTACACAAAACACGTGGGGCGACGTCATCGGCTTATAGGATCACGGGTGGCAGTCACCGCTCTGCCTGTGACAAAGTTCTTGAACCACCTCTTGTAAATCATCATAACCTCCGTGCGGGGGTTTCCGACATAAAGCGTTGTGGATCGTAACAGTCCGGCCCCCAATGACCATCGATACATCCCGCGTTTAGCCTCCATTTTAGGGGGTGGAGATCAATACCAGCTCAAACACAGGGGCCCAGCTCCGTACAAATATCCGAATGGCGGGCCCGATCCACACCTACGGTCCAAGTTGCCTGCTTGTGGATGAAGAGCAGGACCTCACCAGATTTCAATCGCTTCCATCACCACCGGGGATTCGATCACAGTTCTTCTATATTTCATCATTGCCGATCGATGATCCACTGGCTCCTCTACCTCCGCCTGCAAGCCAGGGGACCGGGAACGAGAGACTTCCTCCCACGCCATTCTCGGCCAGGGATAACATCGCCTTAGAGGAAGCTTGGCATGATTTACGGGAAGCGAGAAAGACCAAATTGGCCGGGAAGCACAGATCCAGGCCAAATACATCGATCGGGCCCCCTGGGATAGCTGTGCCCGGTCATGAATCGGTCTCGAATGTCGAACGCCGCATGCCAGCCAGCCAAGAGGATCCCTCATTGGTTGGCAGTAGAGGAAGCACTCTGAGCAACCTTCAATCGTTCCCGGACGACTTACCCTCTCACAGTCACAAGAGTCACATCGCTTTTGTTACTGGCAGTGCTGAAATACAAACCCATGGCCTCGGCAAGGAAAATTGCGTGAGCTCCCCACTGGGTAATGGGTTCAAACACGACACTCCGGGAGAAATTTCCATCGATCGGAAAAGAGCGCGCCCATCTTCAGTCAATGAGTCCGGTGCAGCCAAAAGAAGAAGCAGTTCTCCACTAGAGGCTGAGAACGTGGGTGAAGGCGACGCGGAGATTGGAAGTCTGCGAGCTGATCGTTCTCACGATGCAAGCATGAGTGGCTCTCCTTTCATACGCGCACCGATATCTCAGCCTCAGACGCCGCTTGGTCGCTCATTTGAGTCGTTTTCGTCAAAAGAAGGAGGCGAATGGCAGGCGGAACTCCGGACCAGCACCGCTCCTCGAAGTGCCCTGAAACCTTCGGGCCTCAGAACGACCGTGAGCATAGATCAATTGACCCAGGACTCGCAAAGGGAGAGAACAGAGGAAACAAACGCACAGTCAAAGATTCCAGTCGGTGTTTCACGGCTTCATCTAGTTGAGCTACCGAATCTCAAGGTGAATACAATGTCTCTACTCGGCTCTTAATTTTAATAACACTTTTTATAGATGAAACCTATCTACTGGAGCCCTCTCCAGGACATATCAAGTGTGGTCCGAGCTACTTGGTTCTACAAGAATACCATGTTGCCCGTTGAGACTGAGCTTGCGAACAAATTGGAGGAAGGCTACGTTTACTTGAAGCCATGGAGCGACACTTGGCAAGATGAACTGAATAGTTGCGTGGAAAACGGGGCTGATGCCGAGTTAAAAATTGTTCACCCACTATGGACAAAACAAGACAGTCAGCCTACAACTACACAAGCGCCAGAGAGTAGTGATTCGCCTTTGGATGAGGCGGAGGATACTTTGAAATTCGACGAAAATCGAGCTGCAGGCGGCACCTCTATCCAATCTGAGAGTATCAAGTCATACCTTACATCTAGTGCCATCTATGTCGATGCCATAAATGCTCAAGTACTTCGGCCCAGCTTACTTCCCTCGGTGTCGAGGGGACGACGACCTCTTGGTGCAATAAGGAAAGGCCGCCAGATAGGAATACCTGTGGTTCGTGGGTTTAGTCGAAAATTGTGGGAACAACTGCACCCATCAAAGCCCAATCCTATCGATGTGCGCCATTACATCCGCAAAACCCAGTCGAAAAGTCCTTCTGCGCGAGGTGAACAAATATGCTATGCATGCAAGATGGAAGAGTCGCGACCACCTCCAACGGACTTGGTTCTCGTTGTCCATGGTATCGGGCAAAAGTTATCGGAGAGGATGGAAAGCTTCCATTTCACTCACGCCATCAATGCGTTTCGACGAGAGGTAAACATGGAGCTCAATAACGAACCTGTCTGGCCGCATGTGCGCCAGGATCATGGGGGAATTATGGTTCTTCCTGTAAATTGGCGTACGAATTTGTCGTTGGATGACCTCGATGTTGAGTCTGGTATCGAAGACCCAGCTAGCAACAATTTTTCCCTTGCAGATATTACTCCCCAGACTCTTCCCGCTATCCGATCCCTGATCAGCGATGTGATGCTTGACATTCCTTACTATCTGTCACACCACAAACCGAAGATGGTCAAGGCAGTGATTAGAGAAGCGAACCGCGTGTATCGCCTCTGGTGTAAAAACAACCCAGGGTTCCAAGACCACGGCCGTGTACATCTCATCGCTCATTCTCTCGGAAGCGTGATGGCTGTAGATATTCTCAGCCACCAACCAACACATGTTCCTCGGTTTGACTTTTCCAATACGGCATTACACAGTGACATTTTCGAGTTTGATACTAAACATCTATTCCTATGCGGAAGTCCAGTCGGCTTCTTTTTGCTTCTCAATAAGGGTACGTTTGAAACCTATATCATTCTGCCTTATATCTAACATCCTTGCAGCTAGTCTTCTTCCCCGAAAAGGCCGGGACAAGCCAGGCAGCGAAGGTGACGATCTACTTCGCGGCGTTGCCGGTGAAGCGGGTCAATATGGCTGTCTCGCCGTAGACAATCTCTACAATATCATGCACACAACCGATCGTAAGTGGATTGCACAAGCTCCCCAGCTGATTTTCATATTTTATTTGCCTCTTATATTAACAATCCCTACCAGCAATCGCGTACCGAGTCAATGCAACCGTAGACTCAGACCTCTCCAACTCCCTCAAAATGGGCATTATCCCCAGCTCCGGCTCCACCTTTTGGCAGTCCTTCGGAAGCGTCTTCCGCTGGAGCTCGACGCCGTCAACATTATTGCCCTCCACAGCCCCTACCCGCCCCGCAGCAATCTCAAAGCTCCCATCCAATGTCGAGCTCGAGACCCACGACTTCACTCGCGAAGAGATCGCCGAAAAACGCATGTTTCTGCTGAACGATAACGGTCAAATTGATTATTATCTCTCGGGTGGCGGCGGCCCGTTGAATATCCAGTACCTCAACATGCTGAGCGCGCATAGCAGTTACTGGACACTGGGTGACTTTGTGCGGTTCTTGGTTGTGGAGATTGCGAGAAAGCAGGGGAGAGAAGGGACGCTGCTTGCTTTCCGGTCTGAGAAGAAGAAGGGATGGAAATACTCAAAGGGATGATTCTATTTTGGGGATATCTATGTACCCTTACCGTAGCTTTGGTGTTGATTTTGTTCTCTATCCAGGCGGAGACAGAATAGGTACCATAGGTACCTTGTGTGGTTGTAATATGCGCGTACAAAGATATCACTTGGCTCGTCCCATGTAAAAACAACAATGTATTTTGCATTCTCATCAAAGATGGAGACTTACAGCTGTTGGCCATACATCGCCTGTTCAAAGAGGATCGAAAAACTGTGAAGACAAGACGAGAATGCAAGTATACAAAGCTTAGAAACAGATAAAGAACCGAAATACAAGTAGTTTTCAGGAGATTCAGTCTCCGTCTGGGCATAAATCATGTATCATGTCACATCTCTAGCAAATGACCCGAGTGTCCGAGCCATGAACATCCCCCATCAACAAAGCCTCCACAATCTCACCCTTGATACCAACTCCCCGTCCAGCCCGCAACACCACCAGAGCATTTGCTTTAGCCAAACTGCCGACTTTCGAAGACCGCTGTCCGGCACCCTCAACCCCCGTGCTCGTCGCGTACAACCGACCATCCGAGCGTGACGCTGTCACCACAGCACGATGGTACTCCGTGCGCTTGGGATCAAGCGGGAAGTGATGTGTGAGGACGACAGCGACGCGCGGGAGACCAAGCTGCGGCGCGAGCCAAGGCCTGGAGCTAAGTGCCTGGGAGCTGTGGCCCAGGCCGGTGAGCTTGTGCAGTGAGGGAAGAACAAACAGATTGAGAGTGACGAGGGCGGAGGCCGGGTTTCCGGGGAGCGAGAAGATGAGTTTTGATTGGCGCTCCTGCTGGGAGGATGTGGCATCGCCGGTTGGTTTGAAAGGGACAGTTGCAAAGGTGGTTGGTTTTCCCGGCTTCATGGCAACGCGGCCGAAGTGAATGGTGCCGCCGAGTGAGCGTTCGATTGTCGGCTTGAGGAGGTCGAGCTCGCCCATTGAGACGCCGCCGGTTGTGATTATCACGTCGACGCTGGTGGAGGCTCGGCCTACGCCGCGGAGAGAGTCGCGGAGGGCATGCTCGAGCTCACTAGCAGGTGTGTCGCGAGCGATGCCGAGGTCGACGGTTTCGAAACCCCATGAGTTCAGGCATGAGATAAGAGATGGGCGGTTGGAGTCGCGGATTTGGCCGCCTGTTAGAGTTCGCGGGTCATTGTGCTCGACGAGCTCGTCGCCGGTGCTCAAAACGCCTACGCGTGGTTTCCGGAAGACTTTGACAGTCTTGGTGCCGGTTGATGCCAGTAAGCCAATCTCTCCGCCGACGGGAGATATTAGGTCCCCGCGGGCGACGATTTTGGAGCCTAGTGTGACATCGCTGCCAGGCTCGCGCACATTCTCGCCGGGCTCAATATCATCGGCGAGGATTTCGACTGTCGCTTCTTCCTTGCCGTCAGGTGTGCACGAGTCCAAGGTCGTATCCTCAACCATGACTACGGCATTCGCATTTGGGGGGAGAGGGGCGCCAGTGGTAATTCTAGCTATGGTCCCCGGTTGCAATGGCTCTAGATTCCCGCCGACATTGGCATGGGTAATGGATGCTACAGGGAATATACCCTTCGTGGACTGGCCGGCGGTGCTAGAGTCTGGTGCAATGACAGCGTAGCCATCCACGATACTAGCTCGATACGCTGGCACGGCCTCTGCGGCGTAGATGTCTTCGGCGATCACCGATCCAACCAAGGATGTGGTAACTGGGACCTCAACAACTTCTGGCTCGGGAGTTTGCTCATTGATCCGCCGAAGAGCTTCATCTACAGACAGCATTGGGTAGGGTGAGGAGCGATAGCGCCGGTTAGGGCCCGCGCTAGGGTCGTTGGACTGTGGTCTCTCTGACGGCGACGTATGCGCTTTTGGAACCTTATGTCCATGTCCATGGTCATGGCCATGATGGTGGTGATTATGGTGGTGGTGATGATGTTGATGATCACCAACACCAGCCTCTGATTCTAGCTTCTTCACACCTCTAGAATGGAGGTCCCGTGAATTGGCCCCAGCAGACTGCAGACAAGCATGCGGAAGAAGTTTAACAACAGCGTCGAGGTTCTCCATGGCTCCTTTAGGTGAACCGGGCAAGGTAATAATCAAAGTCTTATTACGGACACCAGCAACTGGTCTGGCCATCATAGCAACTGCGCGGGGGATTAGCTGAAGTAAATATAGTCAAAGAGAAGCGCCATGGCAGCGCCCCTGATGTCATGCTCACAGGGGGTTACTTTCAAGGAGGCAGCAATCATGCCGTGTCTTGAGGTCTTGGTTAGTTTACTAGCGTCAATGCGGTAACCAGGGTATCCAACTCACACTAGTCCCGGCGCATGGCGTTGGATTAGGGGGGACACGGCCTAGTGATGTCATGAGCATAAGGGCGAGGTCAAGCAGATCAGAATCACTGACTTCAGGGGTATTGTCCTTGATAGCAAATCCTGTTCCTCCACTAAGGAGGATGAGGTTGTACCAATTAGGGCTATCGGCCCAGTCGTATATGGATTGCTGGATCTCCAACACGCTGTCCGGGACGATCCTGAATGCGGGGGGTTCCCACTTCCCCTCTGCGGCCAAGATAGGCGTAAGTGCATCGACAACCTTGTCAGAAGCGGGGTCTTTCGAGGCAGTGTCTGAGACAACGAGGATTGCAACTTTTAGTTTGGTCTCCATGATGTGCGTTGTGCATAGAAGTCTGGGGAAGTGGATGTTTTTGGTGGGGGAGATTCTGTTAAGGGAAAAACCATCGGATTATCGCCAGACCCCGACGTAGATTAGTGTTTACTGCAACTGGTGAATTGAAACTAGTGCCAATGCTACTTTTCGTATGTGCCAATCGTAATCATTTCCGAACGGCTAGTCTCTTGCCCACATATTCACTTGCTACGAATTATCCCGAGGTCCTCGTAGGCCCAGCCTCGGAAACCAGGTTGGAATGCAACCTCAATCGATTTAACCCAATTAGATTGGAACCATAGAATACATCGAACTAAATATAGATTGGTTTTATATTAATTCTGAATAACAGGCTTCCATGTATACTTCAGGTTGTCAAAAAGTCGGGCTAAATTGAGACTGCATTGAGTGCCTACATGTAAATATAGGTCAAAGTGATTTCATCTGATAGTTTCTACAAATATTCGTTCACATCCCTAGTGTAACAAGCTAGAACTAGCTCACGAGGCCTCAAACCTGATACATATAATCCCCGGATCATTGATGCAATTGAGCAAAACCAAAATGGCTCTACGTGGTCGACCCCAGACGCCCCGATGCGGTGTATATCGAAACATGAACATGAACTATGAAGACGAGGATAAATAGGCGAAGCGGATCGCCTTGAGCATATGTTTCGAACGCCCGATATCTGTTTGCCGCCCAAATTTGAAGCTCTTCTCTCTCAACGGAAAGCTCAATTTCAGGCCGCCTCCAACACCGACGCCTTTTGGGCCACGAGAAGACCGACAATCAAACCGAAAAGACCCAGGACTGAGCTGAAAATCTCGACGACAAGAATCTTGACGAATCTAAAAGAGAAAGCAATGTAAGTAACAGCCCTAAATATCATATCAACAATATCACAAGGATCACCTACAGGCTGGGGTCGGCTGCATCGGCCAGGGCAGCGCCACTTCCATTGATACCAACGGAGATACCGCAAATAAGATTGCAGACGCCGACTGTGATTCCTCCCCAGAAGACCGCGTATCCAGTGTAGTAGTTGCTGGAGGTGTGGATTCCGCCTTCGGGTACCGGGCTGAGCTTTGAGGAGAAGACAATGGCCATGATGACACCGTAGATAGCGACGACTTCACAGAAAATAATGGAGATCAAGTTCTTGGTGCGAATACGAGGTGCTCGGACACCACCACCAACAATCGATGAGCCGGTAAGGAAGATACCCCTAAGAAGATATGCGGTCAGTATCGCGATGCCGGATCACGTTAGCGGAGATCGGCTTACCATGCTGCGCCGACAACTGAGAAGCCGATACACGAAGCGATTCCGATATTTGCCCAAGCATAAGGAGAAACTTCCTCAAGGAAACGGCCGACCTAATACGTGTCAAGTTAGTAAACTTTTCGAGCAAATCGCTTGCTTTTAGCATAAATTCCGTACATTGAACGCTTCTCCCTCCCCGTGGAAGAGCAAATCTAGAATCCAGACCCTCTCATTAGCTGCCAGATCGCACCTCGGATTCATTGAAACGTACACAATCCCACCACGATGAGAGCGGTAGTGGAGACACCGGCCGGGTAGAGGTAAGCCATGGCGACCTCTATAAGCCTGATGACGGATAAATTAAATGGTCAGAATGATCGCAGACGTAAAACGCAGCCGATAAGGTAGCTGAAGCTCTAGGATTGAAGCGGGTGACGGGGGACTCGGTGGCCGGAGCGGATTAACTGCTCCGTTCGGGCGGTGACCTCGCGATGTGCTTCCCCGGACGTGTTGGACCACCTGTTTCCTCCTGATTTACTGTTCTTTCAAGGGAAGACACTTGTCTTAACCTTCTATATTCTCATTTGCCTTGTTCTCGTGTCTTTCAACCAGTCGCAAATTACTGACCTCATTCTGCGCCGCTTTACTACCCCTGAATTTCAACCGCATCAACATCTCCGTGACAATGGCGTCTGCCTCCGGGGTTGGGTCGTATTCGAACCCCTTGAAGAAGTTCAAGTAAGACTTGGGACGGCGCAGTATGTAATTAGGAATACATTGCTAATGGATATATGTAGGCTGGTATTCCTAGGCGAACAGAGCGGTAAGCGTCTCATCACCCCATACCTCTACTACATGCGCTCTGGTCAATGAAAGGCCACACAGGATATCTAACGGTACTGCAGTCGGCAAAACATCATTGATCACTCGGTTCATGTATGACTCGTTCGACAACACATACCAAGCAACTATTGGCATCGACTTTTTGTCCAAGGTACGTCACGTTATACCCCGCACAAGGGGCCCAAGTCATTGAGCATTGCCTCGAGAAGCTATCTATTCGCAAATATCGGGGCTAACCATCGTATCTAGACTATGTACCTTGAAGATCGGACTGTCCGTCTTCAGCTTTGGGATACCGCTGGCCAAGAGCGATTCCGTTCCCTGATTCCTTCCTACATCCGAGACTCGAGCGTTGCTGTGGTGGTGTACGATATTTCGAATGCTAAATCTTTCCAAAACACACGAAAATGGATTGATGATGTGCGCGGAGAGCGTGGAAACGACGTGATTATTGTGCTGGTGGGCAACAAGACCGATTTGAACGATAAGCGGGAAGTCACCACCGCACAGGGCGAGGAAGAGGCAAAGAAGAACGGATTGATGTTTATCGAGACCAGCGCGAAGGTCGGGCATAATGTGAAGCAGCTTTTCAGGAGAATCGCTCAGGCTCTTCCTGGAATGGAAGGCGAGGCCAAGCAAGGCGAGAGCACAAGTATGTTCATTCTCATGTTTTACCCACCGACTTCTCATACTGACCATGACCTTTCTCCTAGTGATTGACGTCAATATCAACCCCAAGGAGACGACCAGCAACGACAGCTGTGCCTGTTAAGATTCCCCCGCATCCATTCTCCCGTCCCTAGGTGCCCTACCTCGATGAGAATCGAGGCTGTCCATGATATCCTACAATTTTCAAAGATGTACATGTTTCTTATTTCTTTGCTCGCTCCTTGAGTCGATAGCGCGTGTCTAGATCTTTCAGTGCCGAATGCGGTTGTATCCAGTTTATTTTCCGAGGTCTTGGGAGGAGACAAGGTGTTTTGATTTCCGTTTATCCAGCATCATACTTTTTTTTTTCTTTCTTTCTTTTTGTGGCAGTTGAAGTTACTTCGCTTGACTTCCTTTGGGGGTCTTCTAATTATCGCTCTGGCAGCATGGGCTAACATGTCTGATATGCGTGATATGCTTTAATTGATGAAGCTGTATAATATGGCATTTCCCTTCTGGGTAACGCACCGCATAGCCGGCGCCAATGAAATACGAAATCGACACTATCATACCCATTAACTAAAATACTTAAGACATAGACAAATGTACTGTTCTTGTATTCTTGCCAAAAGTTGCTATAATTTGCTTCTGCCGTCACCAATACACCACCCGATATATCCATGGCAATTTTTTATACATCTGATGACTTGAGACCCAAGTCTTAGAAGACGAACCCCTTAACATCCATCTCATGCTCCAAATTCCATGCTCTCTTGATTAAGTAGTCGACCTTGTTCGTGTCTATGATTCCGCCATATTTGGCAAGTGCGTGAGTTTTTGCCTCGATTTCAGACCTAGCGATGTCTGTCAGAACATGACATAATTATATCATCTCCTAGGAATATGAAGAGCATACCTTGTCAACGGAAGCTCTGGGTCTCCCTTTGCAAATGTGACTGATTCCGTGAAAGACTTCCCGGACTTGCATGTAACAATAACAGTCCCTTGCCACCTCCCTGGGAATTGGGAATCGATCTCCGCGTTGTATTCCATCTTCACTCGATTCTGGAATTTACGGAGAGAGACATCCTTCAGATCAGCTTCTGTAAAATCGGTTATCATAGCTTGGCCTTTCTTCGCCGCAATGGCTAGCACAAAGCCCATTGAGAACTTGCTCTGATGAACTGTGTCGCCATTACCACTTAGGCTAAGTACGTTAATAGCAGCCTGGTATGTGGGAACAAGGACAGAGTCGATATCGTCAAAAGCAACCTTATTCTTGGCCATTAGGTTCAACAGTGCGTCCACACTAGGATGTGTGTGTCGACAAGATGCGTGCCATTTGAAGCTCGAACGAACAACGGCAAAATCTATACCCAAGTTCTGGTCAATTGCCTCTGGGTTTGTTTTGCCTGGGACAAGAGCAACTCCCATTGCGCGTGGTCCTTCCAATATATCTTGAGGGCCTAGAAGGCCATCACGAGCAGAATAGGCAGCGAATATACCGTCAAAACAGGCCTTTGCTGTGTGAACTTGTTTTGAGTGAGTTGCATCCATCAAGAACTGCCATAATCCTGCGGCTTGAGTCCCAGCTGTGCCGACTGCTGATGATATCTGGTTTGCATCAAGCTTCAGAAGGTGGGCTACAGCTGCTGCAACTCCAATCACTCCGCCTGTGGCGGTGGTATGGAATTTCTATGGCACAAGTCAATCGTTGAACATTAGCTGACTATTATTCCTAGGGTTGCTGGGATGGCTATGTTCATGGAAACCCGACGAAGCTTACCTCGTAATGGCTCTTCCCCAGATACTCTCCAACACGGCAACCAACTTCGTAGCCAACCACGCAGGCAGTAATGAAATCTTCTCCACTTGCCCCAATATCTTGAGATACTGCAAGAGCAGCTGGGAAAATTACAGTGGCCTATAGTCAAATAAGCATTGTGTTTGTCGACAACTGGTGTATAGATAGTGGGCCACAAGCACAATGAGAACACAGGCAAGACTCACTGGATGCATGATGCTTCGATTGTGCAGATCATCCTGCTCGACCACATGGGATGCAGCAGCATTGATCAGACTAGCAAATGCCGGACTAGTGGTGAGGGTTTGGGAGCCATCAATTAGTTCGCTCTTCCCGCTAGACGGGCCCATTTGAGCCGCAAATCGCACCATTGCAGAAACAGCAGGGTGGCTACTACCGGCTATGGCGCAACCCAGAGTATCTAGGAAGAAATCCT